CTGCTTGAAGGCTTTTAATGGCAGATTCAGTTCATCGAACTTTTCTCTTTTCTTTTCTTGTGTTGCCCTTTCAGAATATTTTTATGAGAAAATATCAGAACCACTTTGTTTAATCTTCAGCGATTGCGCGGCCGTAATTTTATTTATTTGTGTCGAAAATCATCTAAACGAACAGCGCTGATGACTGATCAAATCGATTCACGGTCCTTTCTGATTGCTTTGTACTTTTCATTTTGGTAAATCATTTTTTTTTTTTTTTTTTTTTTTTTTTTTAATCATTATGTATATAACAATCCTTTTGAAGCAATGAACTTAAAGCAAACTCTCGCTATTATAAGTATTGAGTTCACACAACAAGTCTAGCAATTCAGAAGTCGAAAACACTACAGTGGGACATGTGGCCTACTTATTCATATAACGATTTATCAGAGCAAGGTTTCATATGGAGACTCTTCTTACAGAGTAGTGTTCGGGCCAAAGTTAAATTTCATCAAAATATCTTAAAAATTTGCGAACACAAGGAAAGAAAGTAATTCTGAACCGATCGATATAATAAGAGGTCGATTTATCTCAAGTCATTCTGGCTAATTCTAATCATCCTAAGCTTCTCACTAAGGAATTCCTGGCACTTTCCATCAGACTATACAATCATATACATATAAGTAAAATGTAGGGAACTAGATTTCCGGCAGCTAAGTAAGAAAATATTTTCTATTTTTCACTGCAGAATTCAATCCGTCTCTCTCATTTCGATGCCTTTGTCACAGCACGATTTGTTAAAATTCTCGAAATATATTTCAATTTCGCCAATAAACTCGTCCTTTGATCCGAATCTGTTTTGCTAAGGTATCCCTTTGTTGTAACAGTTATTGAGAGTCTGATTTTAATAATGGGATGGGTCGTGGGTGGCAGCAATACAAATTTTAATTCATGCGATTCCGGCAGTGCTGCGAATCAATAAGACATTGTGATGCTTATTCTACGGCGCATAAACGCGTTACTCATATGGCGAACAGCTTCCATGCCTTTTGACATCTTTCGTAAGTCTTTTTATACCCATCACCGAAGCAAGAGGGGTATATTCATTTTGTCAAAACGTTTGTAACGACGCAGGAATGAAGCATCATATATTCTTGATCAGCATCAAATTCTAAATTGATTTACGCACGTCCGTCTGTCCTTCCGATCGTCTGTTGTAAACATTCTCCCGGCCGCAAAAATGGAGCTATCGACTTCAAGTTTGGCAAAAACAGTGGAACTTCTTGCACGCAAGTTGGTATTAAAAATGGGCCAAATCGGTTTAAGGACACGCTTACAATACCACGTACACTGAGAACACCTCTGCTTTTCATTGAGAATGACAAGTTGCTTGTTTGCTGATTACTCATAAACCATAGCAAATAAATGTGCAAAAATTTGAAAGCGTATTCTATAGGCGACGCTATAGCATCTGTATACAAAAATGGAAAAAATTGACCACACCCATCCAATAATATAGTGTATCAAAAATTAATTGCTTTTTCGTTTATACGTTTATAACGCGCAGAAACAAGATTCGAAAAACAAACTTTCCTTCATTTACAAAGCAATAATTGATTTCTCAAGACCCCAAAATAAATTATTCCAAGTTATAATTTGAATTTCGCATAAGTTGAAAAATTTTATTTTTAAATTTCGCTTTTCTCAAATACTTAATGCTTCTTTTAATTATGGTATAAAAATTTCAAAAAGGAAAAAGAAAATCTATGAGAATAGGAAAAAAACCTTTCATTGTTGTTTTCGTTGTTGATTCATTTCTGTTCACATCAGAATTCTATAAATAGGCCAAAAGAGTAATGAAATGTGAATCTGTAGGCTGTGTGTGAACAGAAAGGCATAAATACTATCTACACACTATCTACATTTTCTGCATATGTGGATATGGAAGTAAGTGTACCTTTGCTTAAACACATATCGCTTCGCACATATTAACATGTATATCTCCTCCTAACAAGTCATCAGCTTCGTTCTATATGAGTCTTTTCATTTTTTTTTTTTTTTTTGTTTTTTCTTCTTTTTATTACTATTATTATTATTTTTCTTCATTTTCTAATTCTTTCGTTTTTCCCTTTTTCTCTTTTTGTGTTATATCGCATGCTTTTTATACCCATTATCATCGTAACGGCATACTAGAATCGTTGCTTAATTTATAACACCATCAAGTTATGAGTAAATTTTCGAGGAGTTTTTTTTTTTTTTATATAAAAATTATTCTTAATGGACAAATCATCAAATATGATCAGTCCAATTTATCATATATCTGTTTGCTTGTCCGTCGGTATATCGGAATTTTCCATTTTTTTTTTACTTTTCAACTTTATCAAATTGCTTATGCATTTCAAAATCCCAATATATATTATGGGAGAAAAAAAGGTTTTGCCTAAGTGTAGGCAATATTTTAAGCATATTTTCTTGTTGTAACTATTCATCAAAAGATTTTTCTACGTTTTATTATTAAATAAATCTTTTGAAGAAATGTTTTGTGATATATACATTTTTTTTTGTTTTTTTGTTTCTTTTTTTTTTTTTTTGTTTTGATGGGTAACTGCGATTCGCTTTGAAAGGCATACGGTTTTCTTATTTGCCTTTTTTTTTTCCTTTCTTCTCTCATTAAAATGGGATTCAACTCGTGTCAACCGTGAACAATCAGTGAAAGAATTGGAACACTGTGCTTAATAAGGTGGAAAATATATATATGTATATATATATATATGTACGTATAACGATAAAAAGATGTATATTTTGATGCAGGTATAATACAGTAAAAAATATGCTACCGCCAACGTACGTTTGCTATTATTATACTCGTATATAAGATTATTGAAAATCGTGCAAATCGTTTTTGTTTTTTGTATTTTTTTTTTTTTTTTTTTTTTCTTTTCGTATTAACGTAAATAAGGCGAAAAACAAAAAAAATTGCAAGTGTAATAAAAAAAAATTCTTAAATACATCAATTTAATTTATCTGATTATATAGGGAAAAGATCTAGGATTCGAATTGCTTGAAAACGAAATTAGTTATTTAGTATCATCATCTTTTGTTATGACTTTTTTCCACATCACTGTGTGAACTACTTTGCATTTGCATTACACACACTGTGCGCCCACAATTATAATTCACAATTTTCTCTCTCTTACATAAAATATGTAATATTTTTTCTCTTGTTGACTCTCCTCCGTTCTTAGTAAGCTGACTCATAAATGAAAGTGAAGATTATGAGTGAGTGGACTGGTTTAGATATTATATACATATGAACATACACATCTACTATATATTAATTAATATGTATATAGCTTGACGCTGTTTAAAATCTTCATAGCGGATGCAGATATATTTTATATATAGTTTTTTAGAGATCTTCTTGATTATTATTATTATTATTATTATTATGAAGTGCTAAAGAAATCAAATCATAATTCAACTTTTAGTCGAATTATGGGAAAACAATACATATGGAGTGCGTTTTGCGATTCGTTTCTCTAACATTTCGTAATAAATGATGATCGTTTGCCTTTCTTTAAACGCACACATGTCATCCATTGTAATTACGAACTGCCTTTTGTCAAACCGAAATCTGTGTGCAACGGGCGTTCATCACATTACCATTTTAAATTCCATTACAAGTTGACATTTAAGAAAGTTTTTATCCATCCGCTTACCGACACTTACCGACATACTCGTAAATAATATTTTTGCATGTTGTGAACTCATTTTCAAATGTTGCGATTTTTCGCGAATACACATCACTAGACGGCAAGAACTTCCCCCCCGAAAGGCAAATCGCGCCTGTTTAGCTTGCTAATCGCCGCTATTTCAGGCAGATATACTATAAGCATTCAATTAAATGAATATTAAGACTTATTGTCATTTCTATATATATTACACATATAAAGCAAAATTTTATTACTATTTTTTTATTAAAACTATTTTTTATAATAATTATTTACAATTGTTGTAGGAACTCTTTTTTAATCGAAAACATTTAAAAAAAGAAGCATAGAGGATAAGAACGCTGTAAATGCTATTAGGCGAATATTCGGATACTCACTCGCTAAAGAGCGAACATACGAAAATCGTTGATGTTCACTAATACAATAGTAAAAGGAAAGCAATTTTACATGAATTGCTTGAATTTTTGAATCGATAACCACTGAAGATATTAAAGTATTCTTTTTGAAACGTGGTTTAGGAAGTGGTCGAATAAATTCTCATCGAAATGTAATTTAATTTAAAAAATGTAAATAATCAATGTAATACGGTTAGTAGGGCGACGGACTGATGAACGATTAAAATTAAATTGACTCAAACTCTTTAGTTTTATTTAGAGAATATGTGAACTATATATCTTCGGTTCTTAGAAGTAGAATAGCAAGACTTTTATACCCTGAATCTTTCGGATGGTGGTGATGTACCGAACAAAAAAAAAAAAAAAAAAAAAAAAAAAAAAAAAACAAAAAAAAAAAGAATTGTTCCTATAAACTTAGATGTGCTCTTAAAGAGACTAGATTTACAATAATTATCCATACAAACAAACATACATATATAAATACAACATATGGTGTACAATATACACACATATGCATATATGGAAGCTAATATTAAGCCGCCCTCTAAGGCCAGCATAAACAAAATGGAAGATCGAATTGTTGTTAACATTGCCAATGATTTCGAAACTCTCTAATAATTATTTTTACAAATTAAAAACAGAGAAAAAAAAAAAAACTATATTTATGCAAAAATAATATAAAACTAATAATAAATTCATTAAATAAATATGTGAGTTGAAGACAATAACGATATCAAGTGCATGGAATTTTCAATTAAGACGTTGTTATATAAAAAAATTTAATAAAAGAAAAATAAAGTTTTTTTTTTTTTTTTCTTTCTTTTTTTCCTAATATTACATTAAAAACTAAATCACAGTTTAAACTTAACAAAAAAATTATATATGTGTGCAAAAGAAGAAGAGGAGAAACAATTTTAAAGAAAATTTACATAACAATTAAATAATTTTTAATTTTTAAGAAGAAAAGAGAATCATCTGTGAGGACAATAACTAAAGTAAGGAAACAATTTACAATGCAAAGAATAGAAGCGACGAGGATCAGCTTTAAGATCGAAACCATCAATTTTAATAACATTCCATTGATTTTTCATAAGGGCGTAGCTAAACGAAACTTGATCTTGAAACGTGTCGGGCCTTATGAATTCCATCGGTTCCAAATGTGAATGAAAATTATCGACTACCGTCAATGGAACTTTTAATAGATGCTCTAAAAGGAATATACGAGAGAAAAAAATAACAAGCAAAAAAAAAATAAATAAATAAATAAATAAATAAAATAAACATTGAGACTTTTGCATTAAACGACAATCACTTACCAATAATGAAACCCATGGTAACATCGTCCGGAAATCGTATTTTATCTCCTATGCTTATGAATTTACCACCACCTGCTATGGGTAACATTTTCAATGTTAAAGCCCTACTCAAACAGAAGCCAGCACCACCTGTCGCAAACCAAAATGTTATTTTCTTATTCAGCGATGTATTCTTCTGCAAAGACAATAAGAAAAATGCCCTTTAATGAATAAGTTGTAGAGGAGCAAAAAACAAAAAAAAAAAAAAAAACACAAAAACACACAACACAAATCTTTCCTTATTCAATAACCTTCGCTTAAAAAAAAAAAAAAAAAAAAAAAACCATATTGAAAACGTTCTATATATTTAATGAACCTCAAGTATAAAGTATGAGCAAAAATTCTAAAAGCTTCAAGAGCACTCTCCCATTATGTTTGTTACCTTTGAGTAAGTAATTTAATATCATCGTAAAGTACGTTTATTCGGTAATTTAGTAAATCATCAGTAAAGTATTATGCGTATGTAATACCTTTCTTTACTCTCGAAATGCTCGAATTTAATCCTTTTTACCTTTGATGGAATACACTTTAATTACTTCCACTTAATTAGTTTAAGTATGTTCTTCTCTTTGCCCATATAATTTTCATTATATTATACTTTGATGTGTAAATGGAGCGGACCCCATCCCATCAAGTCTCCCCATACGCGTTTTTTTGTTTAATATTTCAGGTTTTAAGCTTGGACCAGACCATGCATGCATGTTATTCAAAATTCAAATTTGTTTTCTTTCCCTTTATCTTACGTCACGGCTAAATGAATATTTCAAAAAACTTATGCAAAAAAAAAAAAATGCACTATGTAACGTGCTTGAGTGAATAAGCAAGCGCCCGGAAAGTAAAAAATCGAAGAATGTTAAATTCATTCCAAGGCAAATTGCAAAAAATCGACCCCAATAAGTCTTATAGTTTAGTTAGATTTAAGAAATTTTCCTACATTTTTTATATATATATGCAATAAGTCGGCCGGTCGGTCGGTCGATCAATCTGCTAAATAGAAATAATTGTAAATTTTATTAAATTTCAAATACAAGAAATGTGAAGGCGCTTGTGAAGCTTACAATAAATAAGGAAAATGAAGTTTAAACACTCTCGACTTACACTGTCCAAGTGAATCTCTAAAGGTGATGAAATGCTCGGTTTACCCAGATACCAATCAACCGAAGGACTATATTCATCCAATAATTTCACTAAACGCGGCACATTAACGTAGTTATCATCGTCGAAATGACAAAACCATCTGCAAAAAAATTAAAATAAATAAATTAATATGAAAGTCGTGAATACTCTTAATTAATTTTAATTTAATTTTAAATTTAAATAATAAATAAATTTATTATTCCCTTTTTAATAGTTAGACGACATGAGTAGCCGAGTAGGCGAGAAACGCGACCACCAAGTCTTCAAATCGCAATACGGTCAAGTTTTCTTTACTCTTAGCGCTCAACTGAACGCTCAATTAGCCGATTGTGCACACGCCCACCTGACAGCGACCATCTACCTTATCGCTCTCTCTCTCTCTCTCTCTCTCTCTCTCTCTCTCTCTCTCTTACCCACCCTCTTCCCGACCATTCCCGCATTACAGGAATTGCGAACATACCCTGAATGATAAGTTATATGCTGAAAGACGAGCACATTATCGAGACGCTTGGTCTGCTTGGCAGTTGCCGAAATGTTTTACTTGGTAAAACATTATTAAAATTTAGTATTAAAGGTCAAAAGTTAGTTAACATATTGAATGTGATGTGTGTTCAGAAAATTCCTAAATTTCTTCATATTATCCCCAAAAAGTAGGGGAGCACCGTATGCCGATCCAAATTTTTCCTTTTAAAAAAAAAAGAAAAAAGCACCCGATGAATATATAACGTTTAGTATGGTGGGTAACACAAATTCGCCCCAATTTAAAAAAAATTTCAAACAAACTTTATTCTGCTTTTCATTTTTATTGTTATTTTTTCCTTTTACGCTCAATTAATTTTTTAGGTTTTACTTAATATTTTTTCTTCTTCTTCTTCTTCTTCTCCTTCACTACCTGCCAATTGAATTGAAATATTTTATATATGTTGTTGTGTTGACTCCAATAAAACAAAATAAAAGGAAAAAAAAAAAATTGTTAAATGATATTTTTTTTCATCATATTTTTTTGTTTTTTTTTGTTTTTTTTTTTTTTTTTTTTTTGTTTGGTTAAATGATTTTGCCTTAAAATGAAAATATCTGAAAAAAGCTTAAAGTTTTATGTTAATCCTATACTTAAAAAAAAGTAAGTAAAGGGAAAAAGGAAACAATTTTACCAAATGCGTTAAAAAACCAATGTCATCATCATAATCAAAAAAAAAAAAACAAAAACAAAAAGGGACAAACAGCTCAAATCCTATTATAAGGAAACTCGATACCTTCGCTTTAAGTTAATTTCTCATTGTGTTAATCATGATGACAGTAAAGTCGTAAAGGATGCTGTCAGCATATGCCTTATATACATAATTAAAGAATAATTCATATTAATTTGTTTAATTACAAAATTTAAAAAAAAAAAAAAATTAAATTTTTGAAAAAAAAAAATGGTTCTTTCTTCAAGTTTTTTATACATTTGTGGTACCAGGGTAGTTAAGTTGTTCAGATAAATTCGCATCTTATTATGCCGATTAATCAAGAATCACTCTCCTCATTGATTTAAGCTTGTCTGTCCCTCTGTCCGTTTGTCTATTATGTTTTCTCTTGTTCCACAGATCGCAAAATTTGAAAATGATTCGAATCTGATCAGCTTACCGATCATTTCCTATAAAACGCCTTATTTTGAAAAGTCTTCATATGAATAACCTTAGGGTAATGTAGGGTATTTAATGGTGCGTGACGATTTTTATGGAGAGAGTTTAAAAACGATTTTTACGACTAAATAATAAATGCGGTTGCAGTAAATAAAATAATTCGCTGACGCTTCTAATAGCTGAGATTGCGTTAACTTAAAATTTTATTGATTTTAAAAATGATTTCGGTCCAATTTTTTAAAAACGAGCAGTGTGTGGTGCTGAATAAAACTCTGACTTCTTGATTTGAAAGTCCTACCCTTAAGTTATACGTATTATATAAACTATCACGCGAAAAAGTCTATAGAATAGCTATTTGAAGCTTCGAATTGCGCCACAAAGAAATCCAATTCGCGAGCGGCTTTTACTTTTCCTGATTAGTTCGAAGGATATCGCTGCTCAATTGTAAATGCATTAGGATATCAAAAGCCAAAATAACCATAACACAGTAGTAGTAGATGAACCAATAATATCGACGATAATGCTGAATATCCATAGCGGGCCCATTTTCGGGGACAAACATATCACCTGAACACGCCATGTTATGGTTTATTCCAAACTCTATCGAACCATAACTAAGGAAAGTTGCCAGCAATGACTCATGCCATTAAGACGTAAAGCGGAAGCGATATGCCAAAGCCGTGATATAGTTCGCTTTCAGTATAAAGAAATTCGTCCACATCTACTAAAACTCTTTACTTTCCCTCCCTCTTTTTCCGGTGTCGATTAACTACCGCCAGCACATAATTAAGCAGCCTATCTACTTGTTTGCCGGCGTCAGCATCTTGTGTCAATCGTGTTCTTTTAGTAGGAGTTCATCCAAGCAACGAGACACAGAACAAACGCTGTGTAATGAATAACTCGAGACCTCATTAAAATATATTTGAATGGGGTAGAGTAAGCTTTAATACCAAAAATAATAAATAAACCCTTTCTTTCGATGGTCTCAACGTAGAAGAATCGCTCATCTTTCATGTTCTGGGTATGAGAATAGAAAACAATGCTCGTTGGACAGAACATGCTTTCGAAACCAGTTTCGAAAATACTTCACAATGGCCGATAGTCGCACCATTTGTACCGTCTATATCCAGCCAAAATTAGTGTATAGCCCGCATATGTAACACAAGATCGAATACAACGAAAAGCTTAGGTGCTCATAATAAACGAAGTCTTGTTCAGGACTATCAATATCGTTGAGCATCGGCGTAATGTGTGGCTGTGCTGCCCTTATAAACAAATAGATTCGAGGCGGAAGTGTTCTATGACGATAAAAAAGATGTGTCCATCAATGAAATTCTACAACAGGTGTACGTGTATCCTTCTCAGCGCCCTCACCCGGTCGTTCAGGAGTTACCTGTATACCATAACTCTCTTGAACAACCAATTAGCAATGATCTTCCTAACCGTATCCGATGTCTCCACTTTCAAGTCAAAGTCATTCAAGAGCACTGCTCGCTTTTTTCAACCCAGTATTCCTGTGCTCATCGTTATCAGCAGACATTGCTTCTTCCGATTAATAGGGATTTCGACAGATGACTTATTGTCTGTTGAAACTCGGTTTCAAATTTGTCCCCCCCAAAAAGGCGAACCAAGACGAACTAAGTTCCACTTTCATTCATTAATTCTGGTAATTTTTTGAAGAGTAGGAATGCCTAAACATTCGATCATTACGATCGGTATGCATTTAAGCACCTAACCTAGTTTGTGTCTTCTGTTAAGGAAGAAAGTATCGGGAATAAGTATACGGCTTTACGAAAACTTGATTAGATGCCAGGACTCATTTTAATTAAACAATAATCGCAATTCATTTCTTTATTTTTCTTCTCTCTTACTTATATCATATCGCATGTACTCACCACCTGGGCATCTCTGACAGATACTATGTCTTATCAAAATTTTTCTTTTCTTTTCTTGTCTTTTCTTTTCTTTTTCCTTTCGAAATTTGTAAGTCCATTAAGCATTTCGATACGATAGTTAGTTAAGTTAAAAGTTAAGTGAAACATTTAAAACTTCATGACGTAGTGCATTTAAAATTTCACGCTGTCTCTTTACTATCATATGATTCTCTGTAAAAACTTTTCTTTAATTTCGTGTGCGTAGTGTGTATGTATGTGTGTGTGTGTTTAGCATGAAATTGAGAATGCATTACAAAAAGAATGCTTGCTTATTAACAAAGATGTGAGAATTTGAAATGATTACAAAAACTGAATACGCATCGTTTCGTATTTTGAAATATTCAAAAAGATTTCAGTTAAAACATTTTTGATTAGACTTAAGCTCTTGTATAATATTCGTGTGTTAATATTAATAGTATAGAACAGAAAAAATGATTACCATGCAGCATTTACTGTTCATAAAAGTAAAACACTTATGAAATTGTTTTTTTTTTTTTTTTTTTTTTTTTTTGTCTTTCAAGTACATTTCCACCGAAAAATGATCGTGTGACCATCCGTTTTATTACGTTCCGCTCTAAATTGTGGTCGATGTCAACAAAACTTGAAATGTAAAAATGAAAAAAAAAAAAAAAACAACAACAACAACAACAACAAATTCAAATGAATTGAAATGGACTTGTTTGGCCACACAATTATAAAAGCAACCAAAATTGACACTAAACAACGTATAGTAAAAATTCTTTCATCGAATGCAAGGCAGGTGGAAAATACGGTGGCGGGTCATCAGCAACCGGATTTCTTTTTTTTCTTTTTTGTTTCTTTTTTTTTTTTTTTTCTTTTACTAATAATAGTCAAGTATCAGTATATATATAATATTAAAATACATTTTTTTGTAGATATGCTTACTTACTTTTTGCCACTCTCTAGAAATACATCGAGTTCGGCCGACATTTTACAACATAAGGCCTTGCGAAAATGACCCTGCGAGCAATTTGTGTTAATTAGATGACCATCTGTAAGAGAATAAAGATATGAAACTTTTATTTCAAAACAAAAAAAAAAAAAAAACTATGTAAAGATAATTATTTAGGTTAAAAGGAATCTGTATTAAGAGCTCAAAAAATGACATGCACACACATACATACATAATCACATTAATATTTTATACAAAAAAAAAAAAATAAAAATAAAAATAAATAAATAAATAAATAAAATAATTATTCATTAAAATTCCTTTCGTCGAGTTTCAATCATTATGAGTCTGTCCCTTTGTCTGCCCGCTTATCAAGCAAAGGTTTTAAATTTCTTTCACTCTATTATTGCTGCTTAAATAGTATTTAAAATCCACAAAAACATTACGCATTAAAATGAAATTGAAAACATTAATTAAGAGGCTTAACGAGAGGGAGAGATACGGTCGTATATAGGTATGCTTGTAGGTGCGCCTCTAATGAGCTAAACATTATTGAAATATTTTAAATCGCTTTATCGCCAGACAATCGCCTCTGAGAATGACATCACAACACATATTAAAAAAAATTTAAGTGACCACAAAATGATAAACAAGAAAAATATGTAAACCTTTCAATATAATATTCTCCCGTAATCATGACTAAACACAAACTCGATACATATACAATCAAAGCTAATCGAATGTCCAGCACACTCTTGTCGCTGCTATTATGATCAGAAAGGAAAAAAGAAAAAATACAACAACAACAACAACAACAACTAACGAAAACGAAAAGTCTTTTAAAAGAAATTTACACAGTTTATGCTTTTTCGTCCTAATCAAAATTCCAGTAGTCATGTTGTGTGTGTGTTCGATGACGGCTTTCAAAAAATGCGACAATAAAGGATTTCTTTACTGTGTTTCTTGCTTATTATCTTTTCATTTTTTTCTTTTTTTTCTTTTTCTTCCATTTTCATATACAATGAATGCATAAGGAAAGCGAAACGAAGAAAAAAATAAGTAAAAAAAATAATTGGTTTCAGATTTCGAGCTTGTGTAAATAAATGTATATCATCGAAATCTATAGAGGACGGGAGAAGTGAAACTACTCCCCTACTAAGATAATAATTTAAGATCAAGCTTAAGGCTAAGATTCAACGTAAAATATTTAATAATAATTTTTATCTTACTATTACTATGATCGCTTCGCATTTCTAAAATTTATATTTTCTATATCAGTGCAATTTAAATGGGTATCCATCTATAAATCAAGTTAATAACACAAAACCTTTCCTTAAATGTCACCTTTGATAATTAGGCAAACTCAACGTCCTCACCTTGCGAACAAAAGTTTTTACATCAAATATTATTCTATTCATCACCGATGCAGCTTCAACACCAACAATAACAGGTAAGAAAATTCTATGCGACAAGGACCGAATCTCTCGTATACGCATCCATCATTTCTTTTATTTGTTACCCATATCGCTTAATCCATCAAATCGCTTTAACTACGATATTCATTTTAGAGTTAACCCATTTTTAAGCAGGTAATACATCTTCATTTGAGGCATATACAAAGTAGTCTTAAACATTCGGTCCTGTTTGCCTTATGATAAGATAAAGCATAAATCCTCAAAAAAGTGAAAAAAATAAAATCTTATTAATCGACTTTGACTTTGCGCGCGCATAGCTGGACCTAAGGACCTAAAGAGTAGAGTGTTTCGTAAAGTAAATGTGGAAAAATTCAGCAAAAATCCAAAAATTTAAAAAAAAAACAGAGTTGCATTTAGTTTAGCCTCCACTGCACGCTTCGGCTTTGATCGATTTGGCTCATTATCAATACCAACTTGCGTGCGGCAAGTTCCAATATTTCCACCAAATCTGAAGTCGATATATTCATTTTTGCGACCAAGAGAGTGCCAACAATACACATTACATAGACGGACAGACGGACAGACATGGCTAATCAACACGGAATTTCACGCTTATGAAGAATATAGCTTTTCTCTTGGTTGTTGCATACGTTATGGGAGAATAGAAAATGAGTCCAACCCCATCTTACAGTGGTGGGTACAAAAAAAAAACATTTCTCATAGGATAAAAGAAAACTGGAACATCTTATGGGATCTGTTTCTTATATAATCTCATTATAGAAGAGATTTTGAGTCCAATAGGATGTGTGGGTAGAGTAGCATTTACATATCCCTGTTAGATGTCCTCACTACGAATTTTGGATGGGATAAGATCCAACTAAATCTAACCGTCCGCTGAAAAGAGGCGAACGAACATTTTTTTCTTTCATCTTTTTATTTTCATTTAATCGGTTTTTAATTATTCCGTACAGTATTCACATTTACATACATATATATAAAAGATTGCAAGGCAAAATATAGCAAAATGGAGCTAAACTTATGAAATATTTCCCATTTAATTATTTAGGTTTTTTTTTTTTTTTTTTTATGAGATTTTTATGTCTGATGAACTTCATTTGACAGCCATAAAATTCGGACATGTGGATATAAATCAAAATTTATAAAGTATAAAAGAATAGAAAAATAACAACAACAATGAAAAACCAATTTATGAACAAAGACAAGAATCAGTTTCGATGTTAATGCAAAATCAAAAAGAAAAGACAACAAAACAAAAATGTAAATATGTTTTGCATAAATAACAGCTTAGTGTAGACAGAGGAAATTATAGGTAGTTTCGGCAAATCAATCGCTTCATATATAAGCACGCGTATATTTAACCGCTTGCTTATTACATATATGTTATGATTTAAAAATATTATCGTCCGGTTGATCGAGATCAAAGTGTTTTTGCAACTTGTTAAACGCCAAGCAGTCGTTAATGCAGGTTTTGTGCCCATTTCGCAAGTTTATCTCTACGAATAAAGGTTATTCAAGATTCGACCTTAGCCGGGTATAGCATTGACTCTCCCTTGTTACTTTTTAATGAGTTTTATCTCATTTTGCACGGATATTTCTTTTTAGAAGCTCTCCTCTATAGTTATTCATCAAAGAGCATACGCACACGCACACACACACACACACACACGCACACACACACAGTAATTGCTTTCTATCATACTTGGCATCGGCCTAAGCGAAAAAAAAAAAAATAAAAATAAATAAATAAAATGAAATAAAATAAAAATAAAAATAAAAAACAAAAAAAAAGAGAGAAAAAAAAAGGAAAAAAGCAGCTTAGCCTCTACATACCTGCCAACGTGGCCTTAATACCAAACTAATTTGCTATTTTTTACGTTTTTGTTTTGCTTCATACCTACATACGGACATAAATGAATTTTGCGTTTGCATGTATGTAAACCTGAATGTAGGAAAAATTCCAATTTAGTTTCACATCAAACTGCTCCGCCTACTTGACCGCCTAATTCTGGCCACTGTTGTGCAAAAGAAATAAAGGCTTATTTGCTTCTTTTTTTTTTTTTTTTTTTTTTTTTTTTTTTTTGTGCCAAGCCATGCTGTTAACCAATATTCCAAGCTCTCTGGCTATTGAACGCATTTTGAGTAACTTTTACACACATAGTCAGGCACACACATTATACAAATTCTGCTACTACCGCCACCTCCACAACGGCATTGTAGGCAATTATTTCGGTAGATTTTGTTTTTATTTTCATTTTTATTTTCTTGTTATTTTTATTATTTTTTTTTGCTTTTTAAGTTTTTAGTCTTATTTTTGGTGGAAAAAAAAAAAAAAAAAAAAACTCTAAGCTAAGTTTAAAGCTTCATTCATTGCTACTTGTATACGAGCAAAACACAATAATATAACAATAACAACAACCATTAACCAACAACATCTAAGACGATTGCTATTAGTTCAACTTGCGGTTGCTGCTAACGCCCGCTTACTGTGGCAGATATATTAAATGATTATTCCCATGACCGCGCACGTTTGATAACAAACTGTTGGGTTACTTAGTGCGGTATTTTTTTTATTTTTTTTTTACGTTTGTGTGGGTGTGTATATATATATACATATATATATATATATATATATATACATATATATATGTTGTTGTCTCTTTTAGTGTACCTTAGTATGCGTATGTATAAAGAGTATAATTTAAATTTTGTATATGTGTAAATGCAATATTGTTGTTGCTATTCTTGATGTTTATTTTCTTCGGTTTTTTGTTTTTTGACCCGTTCCGATATACATTAAAATTTGTGAATATCGCATAAAAATTCATTAAAGAACAAGAAACAAAATAAAATATTCGGTTACGATCCTTTTTAACAGCTTAAGTTCTTGTCGTTTTTGTGCGTTTTTTTTTCCCCCTCTTTTTTAGACGCCGTCGCTGCTCAGTATTTATTGTATTTTCGTGTATTTTAATTGAAATATTTTTCAAAATGAGTTTTTTTCTTTCTGTCTTTTTAAACAGAATTTTTCGCTTTTTGTTTTATTATTAATTCGGCTTTCGAAAGGATATTCGAAAGAGAGAAGAAAAAAAAATTAAATCAATAAATCTGAAATATTTGAATCTTAATGAGGTTAACTGAAATTGCTTTAAAGGTGTTGCGTCATACAGCGTTGTTCTTGCCCATTGAGGATAACTAAATCAATTTTCATACATTCGGACATTAAGAGATTTATTCTACGGACGAGTTAATTGTCTTTGCCCAGTTGTAAGACAAACGCACAATAGTTCTTCATCGATAGAGTTATTGCTTATGATTGATATTTGAGAAATCGAAAAATCAACTGTGGATTGAATTTATGATCGTGCGATCATCACCTATGATTTACATGCATTTTCATCACTAATTTTTTTTATTTTATTTTTTTTTTTTATTATCTTTAAAGAAAGAAGTCAATTATCTAAAGACAGTCAGCTGGCGATCCCTGTCTAATTTCATTCATTCATTTTCGTTTTTTGTGTTTAATCTCATGCAATATTTTCGTCGCTAAATACTTGCATTTGCTATGAAATATTTTGTGTGTTTCTGCGGAAAATTATTTATTGCTCTTCAATAAAGCATTTAATTACGTCTTCCTTTCTGTTACCTTCAATAACGTATTGTGGGTTTCCCCTTCAAGGGCTAACACTCGTGCCATGCAGTTGTAATATCCAAGATGAAGTAATGAAAAAATGTATAACGAGCTTTAGGCGAATCCTTAACGATTCGTACTTTAAATGATTCGGAGGAAAAATGGTCGGTGTATGAACGTGTCGTACTCTGAACTACCGAGTAATTGAAAAACTGATCGTTCAATTCAGTTCCATAACATAGACGATATAAAGTTTCAGTTCAGTTCAATTCAGTTCAATTACTACAAACGTTTTATCTATGGCTGAACGTGGCATCGAAAGCATAAAAAAAAAAAAAAAAATTAAAAAATAAGAAAAAAGGATATTTGGATAAATTCTTGAACAAGGTGTGACCGCTAAAATGAAAACAATATTGTTTTGTCGGTTCGCTTTTTTGATAGGACCTTAAAACCATACCGTGCTTTAGTAGCCTATTTAGGATTATTGTCATCATTTCCATTGAATTTCTTTCTCAGATATGCTCTGGAATTTCTGTTGGAACTGCACCATAATTGGTACAATGTGCAAATAGGATTGTGCGATGGCCTTATAAGGACGGAGAGGATAATACTTGCAATTAGAAAAACCGAGTATAACCCAATCGTTTTGATTTAAAAGTTTTTCTTTAGAAATGGCTTACGGTTCAAGACCAGGTTCTATCAAGTAGCAAAACATTTAGTTCATTAGCCCTATTTCGAGGCATCACTATCGAAACGGATTTAAAGCATGATTTTATTTTTATTTTATAAATTTTTTTTTTTCTCAATTTTCATACTCTACCCTACACATTTGTGCTACAATGGTATATTAAGTTTGTGCGAATGTATGTAGCATTCAGAAGGACTTGAGATCAAACCTTGTCTGTCCGTCTTGTTTTCCTTCAAAGTTTTTAGATATTTTTTTGAAATTTTGTACATGGACGTCTTTTGTTCCCAGCGCGAAGGCTATTAAAAACGGTTTGAAACTTGGATGCTGTCCGTATTTTGAAAACTTTTATAAATAGCTGTGCAAGGTATATTAGGGAGGGGGCGCGTTCCGCTCTAATCCTTTTTGCTTGTTTACGATGTGATGTAAATTCATTTGTATTTCGATTTAATATTTGGAAGGAGAAAAGCAATTGTTTCTGTTCAGCGCTGACTTGATCGGAATTTTAATTTTGCATATGTGCAAATACATGCTTTGCCTTTGTCAATTAATGTGTACACTTTGCATTTCTTTATAAGGTTTTTAATTATCTTTACTTACTTGTCTTCTCTTCAAAATATGGATCATTTGTATCCGTAAAAAACCAAGTCTGCAAAAAATAAAATAAAGCAAAAAGGTAAATAAAAAATAAAATAGAAAACCGAAATATAAAAATTAAAAGAAAATTAAAGAGAAAAAAACAAAAAACAAAAAATTGCAAAATTGCAATGTTATTCAAATAAAGATCTAGGAAAGCGTGTATACGTAGTGCATGTTGTGCTGGTTAAGCTCACATTTGTTTCCCTGGAAAACTAACTGACATAATAATCAACGAGCTAAGTAAAAATGACGACAGTTTTGTCTATGATACCAAATATAGTACAATTTGATGAATAGATATTTCTCTAAAGACAAGAAAGCAAATATATATATATATATATATATATGCATTTTTCTTTTTTACAATACATTATCGGGCAAAACTAAAATAAGTATTTCGGGAAAAAAGGGTGGAAAGAGAGGAAAAGGGAAAATTGAATTTGTCTAAGCGATCCACTTGGAGGCTGATCGCACAGACTCAAAATGTTATTTATTTAAATTGTGTATAAAAATTAAAAAAATAAAAAACCAGCTGATGCTGTTGTGTCGCTTAAAATATTTTAACAAGTCGTAAATACTTGCACTTCATGCACTTCATGTTTTGAAAACGTTCGGCACTTTTGATATTTTTTTTGTTTTTTTTTTTTGCTTATATCACAGGAACCTTTTTTATGTGCTCAAGCGGTGAGTAGGTATGGCAGTTGGAACTCTACACTGAGTGCACATTTCTACGCGAAGATTTCTCTTTCGTTCGTGATGATGATGATGATGATGATGACGATAACAATGCTTATGACAAGCTAAATGAAAAATTTCGGAATCTAGGGTTTGCAAGGCTTCAATTATGATTCTCTTCAAAGGGGCAAACTTTACATTTACATTCTCATCGAACGTGATGCGATCAATTTTCTCAAATGATGAGAAAGAGATATTCTCTTGCCTCTTGTCTCTTGATACAGTTAGATATAGGATACGATTTGTGTTAATCTGATCTCTGTTCGAACGACTGCCGCAATTAATGATAAATTTTCTTGTATATCAACTGCGAGAATCACAATTTCCATATGTAGTGGTGCGAGTTCAACAACTTTAAAGCGTCTAATCAGGTACATAGATTGCATACCAGTTTTATGGGGAATGGGCAAATTCGTGAAAGCTTCCAATTACTCTTTAAAGGGCCTTTATTGCGTATGTATTTTAATTTGAGAAATTTGAAAAGCGGTTTCGCAGTTCGCATATCGTGAGAGTTGAGCGATAAGAGAACAGAGATGGTTGATGATTTTGAAAAGATTAATGAATCAATTCATGAATTCGTTCCAATATTACGCTTATACTTTAGCATTATTCGGCAGTGTATGTATGTTCGACTTCAGCATATAAATAGATTTGACAACTTTATTTAAGTTTAACCAACTACTATAACAACTATGAATCAACGTGTGCGCACTTACGTCTGTATGACTATGCACATCTATGGTAAGTTAGGAAAGAAAAAGAAAAAGAAAAAGAAAAAAAAATGCAAGATTTCCTTCAGCCATTCACTTAGCTCAGCCGTTCAGGTTGCAACTGTTGCCGAAAGAGCAACCAACAGTCAATGCATGCACCAGGTATTCATACATAACCGTACACATGAAAATGTTAACATTTTTTTACATACGTTTGCATGGGAATGTATTGACAGATAGTTGCTTTTCTTTTTCATTCTGTTTCTTTTTTATTGGCTTTTCTGTCAATTGTTTAATCTTTGTTATGTTTCAATTTCAATTTTTACTACATTTTGTCGTAATCAGTAATGTAATTAATCATCGACAACATGAAAATTGATCAAAGGTTTCAAATATCTGCTACCGGACGATTCGCAAATCGCTTCGGCGATATGAAATTTGTACAATGAATGACAAATGGAAAAATTGGGTCAATTTAATTGCAATTCTGCTCTACTAGCGGAATTACTAACGAAAACCAGCAAAAAAAAAAAACAACTTTTCTTAACTGTTGCACATTTAATTAATCGTTGACACAAACATTTATACATATATATATAGCTATGAGAAACTCAAAATACCTTTTTATTATATCTTCTCACATAGTTCTTTTGAGGTCATACGGAGGTGGCTATTGTAATAATGTTTTCTTTTATTTATTTATTTTTTTTTTTATACCCTACATCACTTGTGGTATGTGACCTACATCACTTGTAGTACAGAGTATACCAAGTTCGGTGTAACACGTAGAAGGGCTTAAGGTAGACCTACCTTTTATTATAACGATTAATGCAGAATCATTTCCTAAATCCAGCTAAGCTTATCTGTCCACCTTATGTCTGCCTACGAAAATTTGTGTTCAAGCTACAGGTCGCAAGTGTTGAGATATTTTGATGATGAAGTTGAGTACAGTGACGTGCTTTGATGCAAGGACAAGAGCTTTTGGAAAAGCTTCGCGTCGTTTTACTTTTCCGACCAAGAAAATGATTGCCGCAGGCAGACGCGCGATCACATACGGGCGGACAGTCACATGTAGACGGATGCAGAATTCCACAACTTTCAACTTCTTGGTCATTAATACACAATACACATGAATTGTATGAATGAATGAAACAATTATACATTCAGATGTGTAAGGAAGAAATGAAGGAACAGAATGCGTATATGCGGGGCTATTCATTTTGTGATCCCGAAAATATGTGCAATCTGAGTAAAATTTGAATCAAATTTTTCTTTCAAAAAATATTTTGTCCTCCACGGGCCAGCTGACAGGATTGGATTCGTTTGAGAAAATTTTCCAGGACTTGTCCGCACCTAGCGACCCATAGTTTGGCCATAACTTGTAAGATATTACTTATCAAAGCGTCAACAGTTTGAAGGTTCGTTCGTTGGGTTAGCTCTATTTCTAATGTTTTTGCAAAAAAATTTCTTATTTACTAAGGAATCATGTCCTTACGAACATTTTCAAAGTCCTTTCCCTTTTTTTTTTTTGGCTGGTAGAGTGACGTTCGTGCTGTTTTTAAGCCGAGTCTACAAACGATAATAAGACACAAGGATATTTCCTTTTTCAAAAAAAGTTAATCAAAATCAATGGGCCAAAATTGGTAATAACGGTTTAAGCTATCAAATCAAAAGAACACTTTTCGACATTGAAAATCATTGATAGTTTAGTATCTAACTGCCTAAGTAAAGAAGTCAATGAAAAAAGTTTAAATTTCAAGATTATCGCAATTATCTTAAAACCAAGGCTTAAATGTACGAAAGACAAATTCTCGACTCAGATCTGAAATCAAGAAAATTTTTGCAATCGTCTGAATCCTAAAGCTTCGATTCTTTCGTTTGAAGTCATGAACATTGTTCGGAACTATGTTTTCTTATGTATGCCATTGAAAGTCATTCTTTCAGAGATGACCGCTAACGATATCGTAGATGTACATGACGGAGGAAAAAATCACAAGTAAAACAAGTAAAAAAATAAGTAATGTGAAGAGAAAAGTTTCAAATTGTTTGGCAAAGAGCTATGCATTTTGTTTTTGCTTTGTTATTGAAAGCCAGCCGCCATTAAGTGTCTCACTTATGCCAAATTAAAGATAAATTTGTTATATGAAAAAAATTAAAGTTTCTTTTTTTATATATTTTCCTCCTGCAGATCTTTTGTATTAACATTAATGTAAATATTTCGAACGATTTATGCGAGACGTTGACATATGCTTTCACTTCGTTCATGTCAATTACTTGAGTACTCTGACGTTATATTTAATTCTCTCGAATAGATTGTTTACAAGTTTTTACTTATTTTCATTTAAAATAATTAAAGCGTAACGAACATTAATTGTTTCACATTAGTTGATAGTCAAGTCTTGAGACCAATCTATACAGACATCTATACATGTAAACACAATTTCTTAAGAAAAACTCAAATAAAAAGCAAAAAAAAAAAAAACAAAGGAGCACAAGTGTAAAATCATGCAACATATGCATTTAATACATAAACATGTCAATGCATTGTTTAAGTGACATAGACCCTTATTCATGCCTATTGAAACTATCCTGTGCAGTCACAGTAATAAAATGAATTCCTACTAAAACATAATAATAACGCAGCGCAGTGCAGCGCAGCGCAGCCAATCCAATCCAATATCTTTGCTTTACGAAAAGAAAAAAAAAAAAAAAAAAAAAAAAACGATGCTGTAACAATCGTATCAACCGCCGCCATATGTAAATGATTTTCTTTAGCCAAATGAATTTATTTCATAAATAAATGACAGCAAAGTAAGAAAATCGTGTGGAAAAAGCGAAATTGTTCAGCGATAAGAATGTCGTGAATAATGAGAATTTATGAGCAGCCCTTAGGAATTTTTCTCAAGTAATATTAAAAAGGAAAATTAAATCTGAGGGATATTTTTCAATTTTTTTGTTTGGCGGGGGGGGGGAGGGGAAATAATTCAAATGAATATAAATTATTTTCTTTTCTCTCTGTCTCTCTCTCTCTCTGTCTCCGTCTCTGTCTCTCTCCTTACAAACATATTCAAAATTATAAATATGCTCTAAACGGTGGGAAAATATTAAAATTTATTGATTTTTAAAAGTGTATTTAAAAAACAAAAAATATATATATATATATATATATATAAGAAAAAAGAGAAACATAACAGCAATGATAATAAAAAACTAAAACTTAACCTCGACATAACCGCAAAATGACTATTTTAACCGACTAATAAAATATATGAATGTGTGTACGACTAAAATAATTATTGTACATAATTCATGCACGCACACTGTACATTTAAGAAATATATATGCATTTTTATGTTAGCCAGGTGACGTTGTAATGGTAATGGCCTAAGAGTTTATATGTGACTTTTTGAAAAGGGAAATGCACCCTTGTGCACCCTTTGCAATGTAACCGCGTAAGAGTTTATAGTTTTCAAATAGTGTTAATGACATTTTATATTTCCGTGTGAGTGTGAGTGTGAGTGCGAGTGTGCGTGTGCATGTGTTCAAATGTTAAAGTTTTGTTTTATTTTAGTTTAATTTCATAAATAAAACTAATTAAATTTTTTGTTGTTGTTTTTATTTTGTTTTGTTTTGTTTTATAAACAAAGGTTAAGGTTTCGATTTTTCAAACTTTTTTTCTACAAATTTGTTTTTCAATTTTCATTACAACTCAGCAATAACAACAACAACAACAACAATAATAATAATTTATTTAACGAACAAATTAGCAACATGCATTAAAAAGGCATAGGTATAGTCCGCAATTGTCGTATGTCGTATGGTTTGAAAAACTTTACTTTTTATATGGATAATGTTTCCGCTTAATGAAATGTATACTAATTGTGTCGTCTCGTATGTAACACTTAACAGTGCTCCGTGAAGATTCCATTAAACGTATATCATATATATATATATATATATATATATATATATATATATATATATATA